GCTGGGAGCTAACAGCTTCCTGGATATCCCATCAGAATCTCCCACATCATGTAACTGAGGAATTATCTAGATGAGGAAAAAGGAGGTTTCAAGCAGAGGGACTTACATGTACAAAGATTCAGAGGTGAAAGAATGTGGGGTTTACATAGTACTGAAAAAAGCCCCACCATGTGTCTAGAATATGGACATAAAAAGAAGTCTAAAATGAAAATGAAAAGGAGGAGGCAGGGGGATCTTTGTCATCACATTAAGAAATCTGGAATTCATTCTGAGGGCAGTGGGGAGCCATTGAAGAGCTGAGTCAGGCTTACGTATTTTAAGATAGCATGGCTCTGACTCCAGCTATAATTGTGGATTTGCTTATTCCTTGTTCCAGCCGTAACTTTACTTGACCTTACAGTTCTAGTGTCGAACCCCTGATTTAAAATAATTTTTATGTCTCTTAATCCAAATTCTAGAGCAAAAACATCTGATCGACCTTGGGTTAGGTTTTCATCCCTGTCAGATCGGCTGTGACCAGGAAGTAGAGGCTCCTACACAACCTAGAGCGCTAAGCCCACCTTTCAGCAGGGCTGTGGGGGAATGACATGGGCTGGCCAGGTTACTCAAGTATATGTCTCCTGGACTGCCACACAGTAGAACTTAAATTTGTTGGAGTGAAGTATTAGGGAAATGCTAATCGTTCTTTTAGGGGTGGGGAGAGGGTGACTAAAGTATTGTGAGGTTACTGGTGATTTTATTTTATCTTTTAAACTTTCCATAGTTTTCCAATGTTTTGAAATGAGCGAAAGTAATGTTATTTTTTATTTTGAAAAAAGGAAAATGCTGTTCTTCTTAATTCATTTCCCTGTGTTGTAATAGTATGTTCTCTAATAGGTTAATACCTGGAACCTACACAATAATCTTATTTATTTTTCAGGTTGCAGAATACCTATATGCTAATAAAATGGCTTTCCGATACCCAGAACCTGAAGACAAGGCCAAATATATTAAAGAAAGAATATGGCGAAGTGACTATGATTGCATGCTGCCGGATGTGTACGAATGGCCGGAATCTGTATCAAGCCCTCCCCTGATAACAGAATAGAAGCACTCCCACTGATAAATACTCTCCATGCTTCAGGGACCCCTTTTTTTAAGACAAAAAGATGACGTCCTCAGATTTATGGTGTTTGCTTTGTTTTATTCTCCTCCATCACTTTGTGATAACAGAATAGAAGCACTCCCACTGATAAATACTCTCCATGCTTCAGGGACCCCTTTTTATAAGACAAAAAGATGACGTCCTCAGATTTATGGTGTTTGCTTTGTTTTATTCTCCTCCATCACTTTGTTTGACTTATTTTTTCCCATGAATCTACACATCTGTTGGGGATAGATGTGTTGACTGTGTTGCAAATGCCCACCAGTACTCTGCAATCAAATAACCATAATACTGTGATTGTAATTCATAGCCCATACCACATCCAAGAGATGTTAATAATGTATTTGTGAATGTCTTCACTTAATTTGTACTCTTATTCGCACTTACCAAAGTGCTATTTGCTTTTTACTACTATATTATAGGTAATAATTTTCTCTCACCCAATTCTTTTAGGGCTTACTAAAATAGAAATTTACTTTTGTATCTGCTTCATTTTACTGTCATGCTCAGAAATTCCTTTATAGTAGACATGTCTAGGGAAATATGAAAATTTTACCCTATTATTTATTTTCTGTAACTAAATCAAGGCTTAACTGCAAGATGAGAGTACTGGGAATTACTGCCTTTGCACAAATAAAACAGTCACTGTTTTCAACAGTGTATAAAAATCATAGAGTAACTTTTTTACTTAATAAAAGTTACATCTTAAATTTAATTGCTTCAGTTATGCTATCTTATTGCCCAATTAGAAATTTAGGTTTTCTTATTATGAAAAACACATTTTCATTTTCTTTACTTCCAGATGATTCTAGGAGGGGTAGTATAGGATACCTAACACCTATATTATGACTATTGTCATGTGACTTTCTTAAAATAAATGTCATGCCTCACATCTCAATGAGTTGTATCTAGCTGGAGAGGCTATGCCTTTATTCCAACAGTGACACTCTCTGTTACTTGAGATAATTCTGGAATGTTCTAATGATCCATTCCTTTGAATATCATTAGTAGTGACAACTGTTTCTCCACTGAAGGATTTCATTTTTTTAAACTATCAAAATTAATTTATAGCTAAGTGGAGGATGAATAGGTAGGTGTTCAGACCCGGAAATGCCATTTTTGATCCCAGTAAAATGGGTAATAATTGACTGAGACCAGTTTTTTTGTGTGGCTTGGATATTGGAGAGTTCTAAAGAAAATTCAAATGCATTTTGAGAAATAGTAGTGTTGCCATATAGGAGGGAACTTCAAAAAGTTCATGGAAAGATTCCTATTATCTTTCAATTCAATTTTTCCATGAACTTTTTGAAGTACCCTCGGATCTGCCTACCATGTTTGCTTTGAGGGAACAAATTTTTTTAAATGTTCGTTCTAGAATAGTAACAGCAAGTTTTTTGTAGATACATATTAGCATGCATCTTATTTGGTATTTTTCTGTAGGAAAAAAAGGGCTTCATTTTTTTGTTCCTCTTTCCTTTTGCCTATAAAGATTGACTCAGTTTTGAATATATTTTAAAAATGCTTGAAATGGCATTGCCATTCAGACTATGGGAAAATGTAGTTGGTTAATTCATTTAACAGATGAGTAAAGTCAGAAGTCTTTCATAAAATAAGAAACTAGGTCACAGTTTGTTTCTTTTAATTAAAGATGAAAGGTTTATGTTTTTCATGTTACCTTTGTCAAAACAAAATTGCTTCTAAAAATATTCTGTGTGAAATTTTGATTGTAGATTAACATTACAAGTATAGTAATTCCAAGCCCTTTTGTTTTGTTGCTTTAAAATTAATTTTACTAAGATGTTTGCTTATTAAATATGTCTGGTACAGTCTTCATGAAAATTATTCAGTCTTTTAAGGAAAAAATATAGGCTAAATGGCATGTAGCCTGCTTAAATAAGAGAAAACTTTGTATTTCTTTATTTTTTAAAAAACTACCTATTTTCATTATGTTATTTACCAGCCAGTATTGTAACATGTATCAATAATTGGATGTAAATTGATTTTTTAAAATATTTAAGCTAAGAATGCAGGCCAGAACTATCAGCATTGAGGTGATAGGAGGGGGGAGCCAGAATGGCCTCAAGTTGGAAAAGGAACT